TACTATCAAGGCAGGTGCTTAGCTGTGTTATCTTAATGAAGTAAAAATTGATTCGCAAAGGTTTTTCTGAAAAATATATTTGAGCAAAGGTGGCTAAAGTTGTGTATGAGTGTTTTTGACATTTTAGATTCTGCAAACGTATTTGTTTCTAAGCCATCTGTTAAAGAGATGAATGTGTGCATCGAACCTAATTCTAGCCAAGACGTTCCTTATGAACTTGTTGTTGATGATAATGTTGCAATTGCGCTGCATTCCAGTTATGAAGCGGGCAAAAATTTCAAGGTTATTTTAATGATTTGTAGGTCCTTTTGTGTCAGTTTTTGTAGTAGAGCAAATTTTTTTGGAGGGTTGTGAAGCTCAGTTTTTTCTTTCTAGAAGTAAGTTAGGGGAAAAATAGCTTTGGTTGCAGTGTGTTTCTGTTGCAGATATAAATTTAGTTATTTTCATTGCAATGGGAAACACCGACGGAGAATTGTTATATTATTAATTTTAATACTGATATTTTTATAGGCATTTATATTTTTATTTTTAGGTAACTTTAGTTTGTCGTTTGCAGTAGCTTGTAAAGTTTCTTCTTTAATTTTTTTGCAGAATACTGTGGTAGCTTTTTCACTCAAGAATAGCACTTGTCACATTGAACCCTTCTCGAATTCTGGGAACCGATGGGTCACCAAATTAGTTGATTTTTTAAAAATCGAGGACTATTTGGTTGAAGGATATTCGCAGCCGTCGATTGATGCAGAAATTCATGTTCACTTGGCTTCAACAACTTTAGCTTGTTCTCATTTGGATTCGGAAACTTCTTTGAAGTTGTTTTTTGTTTTACTGCTTTTTCTCGCCTTTGTTGGTTATTCTTTAAAACATTAATATATTGTGAAGCTTGGCATTATTCATTTTTGGAAGTACAGGATTTATTATCTGGGTCTAAATAGCTTTATACTAGGTTTCTTGTTGGGTCTAGCGACTTGTCCTGCAATATCTCCTCTAACTCCAAAAGATATAAGTTTGGTTGCATACTGGAAGAGAGTAGTTTGCTGCTTGGCACATGTGGCGATCGGTCTTCAAAAGTCAGTTCTGGAAAATCGTCTGTTCCACAGACAAGACCTTACTTCGTTAAATTGGTTTCATTGGATAATTTAAATTTTGAGGTTTGTCACGAATTTCTGTTTATTCTGTGAATTCTCTGTTGGCTTGGTGTAGATTTAAATTTATATTCGACATCAAATTTTCTTGTAGATCTGATGAGTATGTATCTGCATAACCTCCTTTAATCATTCTTTTTTAGGTATTAGCGGATGGCACTCTTTTTGATCAAGATAGCTCGTCTGCGGAAAGAATGCAGACACCTTGTAAAGTAACATGCAGTCATGGTTCAATTAAGGTGATTTTTTGATGCATCTTTAGTAGATTGTTAGCTGCATCGAATGCGCAAATTGTCTTACCAAGTTCATTTTTTATAATATTTATGAAACAGAGGCTAAATTCTATTACTTATTCAATATCGTGTAACTTCTGATTTATAGGTGTGAGGGGAGCTTAAAAGACAGTTGTTATCAGTTTTATAATTAAAAAATTTAATATTATTACATGGTTGTAACACCACATGAGTGAATTTGGTTTAAATTTGCCTACTTTCTTTTTAACTAGTATTATTTCGTAGATCAGACTTTTTTATGAATTGGAAAACGCATGTAGGCTTGTTATGAACAGAGGATGCGTTAAAACATTAACAGGTTTTCTATGTTACATATCTTTTATCCTTCAAAAAAGGAAATAATTCTGTTAACTTGGCATTGAAAGCATTTTGCATATAGATTTCTTTTTATTGCTTTTATTAATGAGTACGGATACTAGCTTGTTAGATTCCAGATTATATATGCGAAGGGGAAGTTGTTAGTTCGACTAATGCACTTAACTACAAATGTGTTCGTTATTTTTTCAATAAATTCGTAGTTTATTTAGGTTCTTAATTTGTCTAAACTGTCCCTTATAGTGCAGTTTCGTCGTAGATGTTCTTTAATTTTTTTAGTGGAAAAATTTTCAATTTTTAGCTTTATGCCTGTGCCGATTCCTTGACTCTTTTCCTCAATTTACTCTTGAGTGCAGCGGAAGCTAAACAGAGTGGTACAGCATCAACCTCTTCAAGTAATTCTCCACAGCCTCCAGATGAAGGTTCTTTTGGAGTAAGGAGTTCTTCTTACTTGACTCAGTGTTTTTCTGGACTGGTTAAAATCGATGATGTTTAAAAAACTTTCCATTTAGTAACATTTTTTGTCTGTAGAATTTCGCTTTTTTTGGCTTGAAATATGTATTTACAGTCTGCGTACCACCCAGATCTGGAAGTAGGCTCATTGTCAAATGGACCCAGTTTATCTGACGGTCAGTGCTGCTCCCATTCTAAATTCTAAACTGTTGACCACTTTCTCTGTTTTCTTTTTTAGAAATTCTCAAGTCAATTTAATTTCTCGTTTTTAACCCAGCCTTTTTTTAGAAACAAATACCAGCTTTCCTAAAGATGAAAACTGTACTGACTTATTATGTGAGGATTTTTTACTAATTGGGGTGTCATCGGGTTCTGGTATTATGGTAGGTTTTCTTATAATTAAATCCCTTTGACAGCCGTAATAGTCAATATGCTTCAGTTCGAGTAAGTACGAAACTTTATTTAGAGTAGCTCTCAAGAAGAACCTCAAGTGCACCTTTATGATAAGGAAAATGAAGGTTCGCTTGATGTAGATGTCGGATTTATTGAGATTCCGAATGAAAAAAATTATATGATGCCTTCAAAAATTAAAAGTATGACTACATCTGTTATGTGTACCGTACAGGACTTGTCTTTAGAGTTACACTTCTTTGGAGGAAACGATTTTGGTGAGTGTTTTGCGGCAAGCTTTCTAGGGAACAGTTCATTGAATCAAAGAAATTATTTATTTGTTAGCAAGCTGGAGTTGATAAAGCTTTTGTTTTTCTAGCTGACCAACTTTTTTACGCAGGCTTCTGTCTAGAAAAGATTTTAAAGCTTTGATACAGTATTTGTGGTTTCACGACATATAGTGTATTGTAGTTTTCCATGCCATCCTTCGGTCAGTCTGTTTTTCAGTCGGCGCTGTCGAAGATGCAAAGTGTGACAATTTTTAAGGTTATAGTTTCAAATAACTTTCAAGTGAAAGTGAGCTCAGATATTTTTAGGCCCAGAGAGGGATCAGGAGAAAGCATACAGTGATAAGGCTTTTCGCAGTGGGCAGGGTTGCGACCAAAGAGTTCTAGAAGAAGAAAAAGGCGGTCCTTACAGAGATTATTCGGTCCACGTAGTCTTCGAATTATCAAAAGTATGCTTGAATTGTTTGCCTGGTTGCCTTTTTCTTTTGTAATATACCGTTTTTTTATTGCCTTATTGGGGTTTAAAATAATTTAATTTGTTTCACTTACAGTAAGGTAGTGGGTGTAATTGTTATTTTGAACTATTTTTTGTTTTGTAGATGAACTATGAATATGGCTTCATCAAAAGTGCCACTCCTTTGAATTATCATTATTTTACTGTGAAGAACATTGAAGTGCGAAACAGGCTTCGTACTTCTCGGATTGATAAATTGATGCTACAGGTAATGTTTTCGCAGTTATAAGCCACTTTTGTTTCTTGCTAAAATCAAGAACGTTAAGACGGGTTTTTTATTAAATTACATTAAAGTATACCATGTGAGGTGCAAGTGAGATAACAGTTGTTGAGTGTATCTTCGGAGTAATTAACAAAACATATTAGTTTCGGCTTTTACAACGATAAGTTTTCACTAAAAACCGCTCGAATTTTGCACCAAAAAATTTTAAAAGTCAGTCGGTGTATAGATGAGCTGCTTTTCAGAGGTGGTTGAATGCTACCTCTTAATTGCTGTTTGGTAGTTCAAGATTTTCTAATTTTTTTGCTTTGCTCTTTACCGAACATCTGCGTTATAGAAGCTAACAAAGTTTTGTAAATCTGGAACAGGTTTTAGTACCACAGTACGGCAAGGAAAGGTTTAATGATTTTTAGCACTTTTCTCAATTAGCGTTAGCTAATCTTCAGTTACAGTGGGTCCTTTTTGAGTCATGTTTGAGCAGCTTTTCTGGGCGTTTTTTTCAGACCAACGGAACTTGTTGGAATTATTTGAAAATTATTTTATATGCTGTAGTTATTTATTATTCTTAATTTTGACGTAAGAATGTGAACTGACTGTTTTGAAACAATTTTGGAATTTTATTTATTTCAAAAATTGTTTTCCTGAAATTTGCGCCAAAATTTGCTTAAAATGATGACTGGTCATCAGTAATAACATCTGAGCTTTGGTAGATTTTAATACAATCAATAAAATTTTTCACGCCAGGATCTCTATAAAATTTTGGCGAAATATGTACATAAATTAGGGGTAGTGTTGGTCGAAATTATAGACATTAAGAAACTTCAAATTTCAAGGAGATCTTGGATGCGTTGTTTTTAATTCACTCCTGGTTACAATGTTGGTTAAGAGTTAATTATTAGCGAGTGCACTTGTTTTTTGATTTCGGATTTTTGTGGGTCAACAAAAAGCTTACTATAAGTGACTCGATGAAAAATTTAGTCAGCGTGTGCACGTTTTAATAAAGTTGTTTTATTTTTTTTTGCTTTGGCAGTTTGTCGATAAATGTGAAGTCCTCATTGTTCTTTTGATTATTTCAAAATTTTTTTAGTATTCCTCTGCTGAAGTTCCTCGACGAGATTCTGCCCCCATACTTGCCGTCAGACTAGTGGAGAATCAAAGGTCAGAGGCGAAATTGCGAGTTTCTTTGTTACCTCTCAGGTTATACCTGGATGTTGACACACTCGAGTTTCTTTACGACTTTTTCACTGAGGCTTTATCATTTTTTACAAGTTCAGGTTTGCTTTCGTTTCTTCTACACTTGTTTTTTTTTCTTTTTTTTTTGTTATACTTTCTGCTACTCACTGCCGAAGTTTCTTAAAAACTGATGGGAACTAATTTTTTCCACATCGCATTTCACCAAGTTTCCTGAAAACAGGATTATAAATTGTTTTGCATTTTACCGGTTGTGCTTTATTGGCCCTCAAATAGTTAGTAGGTAGCCTTACTTTCCATCTTAGTGCTGCAGTGGTATCCTAACAGACAGGAGGAAAATTTCTGGAGTTTAATATATGAGAAAGTAGCATTTAATTGAGTCCAGTCTAAAACTTACTCCTTATGGTATTTTTGGTTACTCTTTTTGCATGCTCTATCAGGAGCTTTCTTTAATTGAACAGAGGAATGTTGTATTTCATTATAGATAAGGTTTCTGACTACTCAAGAACTTTATGCTGCAGCTTTTTGAAACTGTTAGATAAAATCGTGCGCTTTCTTTCATTTGTTTACTGAGGGTTCTTCAGAGAAAAATTTTTCAAGAAATCAAAGGATATTGGTTGCCGTCGGTCTTGACGGTAGCAATTTGTCATTGCACTTCGGAAGGCTCTTTATTTGGTTTTTAAGTCAATTTTCAAATTTCAATGCAGGATATGTTGTTACAGAATCGGCGGCTCGACAAGAAAAAATTCTATCTCGTCGTACCGTTTCTTCCTCACATTCGGCTTCGGAAATCTACGGTAAACTCTTGCTGGGGTTTCTTAAGGCTCATTAATAATTTTTCCGCAAAGTTGTTTGTGATTTAGAATAGTTTTTCAATCCGTCACTGTATTTTGCAGTAGAGGATTTTAATGCAAAAAGTCCACCGCTTATTCAGTCGAACGATTCGACGGGACATCTCTCTGGTGAAAAAGGTTTTTTTTGCAAGCTTATTGTTTTAGTTTTTATCACAAAATTAAAAAGTACTTACTCTTTTTTTGTGTTTTAAGTGAGCATTTACCACTGAGTTTGCATATTACTTGTTTTTTTTCTTTTTCAAGGTTCGAAACCTATGATGAATTTGGACTACGTCGGCTCATCGTCGTTACCAAATCGAGACTTCTCAAGTTCACTGCTTTCTTATGAACCAGGAGACAAGGGAATTGGCAGCATTGGAAGTGCCCCAACTGTGGAACAGCAGAACAGTGATGCTGAGGGAAGCTCGTGTTATCATTTAGATGTATGTGCTTGAAATTAAATTTTGATCATTTGCCTCCACTTTTTAGCATTGACGTACAAATCGTCCACACCTCTCTTTATCTTATTTTGCTGCAAATTATTCTATTACTTATAGAGCAAACTCTATCCTCCGTTAGACGAAAGAAGATTCAGTGGTTCTGACTTACAGCGGGAGGATGGATTATATTTTAAGTAAAACGTTTTTTGTTACTTTTTTCTACAACTTAGTTTCCATCTATTTCTTGTTTTTTTGACGGAGCTTGAAGCTTGTTCAGTAAAATGAAAAGTTATTCTCTTCAATCACGTTAACACGTTTAGGGAGTTTACTTTCTCGCCTTCAGTTCTTATTCGTCTTGACTTTGACAGCCAACGGGTCGTCAGTCATCGAGGCGCTTTAGTGACTCTAATAACTGCATTGACGAATTTGCAGTGCGCTGAAATTATTTTAAGAGATCTTCATAACGTTGATGGGATGGTTGGAATTAAACGGTGCATTGATGTGCGTTGAACTTAATTTCTGCTACTTTTTCAACTTTTACTTATATTCTTTTGGTATTTAAAATTGCCAGGTATGATTGCATTGTTACTGGTATGCGAATTTCAGTTTGCTTTTAAAGAGTGGACAAGAGATATTGGTAGTAACCAGTATACTCAGTTGATTAGCAGCTATGCACCTTTAAGTACACTGGTTCAGCTAGGTGGGTATTTCAGTTGCAGTACAGATTTATTTTTTGTAGCCAGTTATGCGTATTTTCGATAATGCATATGAAATCCGATTGTTGAAGGAAAAGGATTGAAAGACTTGCTTGTTATGCCTGTTGACGAATACAGGAAAGAAGATGGGCACGTAGTAAGAGGACTGCAGAGAGGCGCGCAAAGTTTTGGGTTTTCGACTGCTGCAGCACTTGTCGACGTTACTAGAAAAATGTTTGGAGGGATCCAGGTTAAAAACTAGTAGTTTCTCAAACTATATTCTGCTTCCAAGTGATTTCTTGCGGATTTAATGATGACTTATATTAATTTCACTTATAAAATTCAGGGGCTTGCTGAATTTGCCTTAAGTGTTGTGTCGACTGAAAGATCTTCTAGTGACATGTCTTCTAAACGGATTTCTCTTGCTGGACAAGGTCGTCCAAGTGATTTGAAGCAAGGGTTTCATATGGCCTTAGAAACTGCGAAAGAGGTAGTTTATACAAACTATTTTTAAAACTTTTTAAAGTGATGGCGCATTCCTTCAGTTACCAATATTCAGGGGGTACTTGCCTTGCAAAAGGGTGCCGAACAAAGTACATCAATCGCACGCGGGCCGGTGGGCTATATTCGAGAGTTTCCACCTGCACTTCTTGGAACAGTAGCTGTTGGAACTAAGATGGCTGTTCAACTTCTCGATGGTTTAAAAAGCCAGCTTGAACCAGCTGCTTACCAGTAAGGATACTTCCCAGTCCAATGTCAAATAGTTTCTTTCCATTTTTTTCAATTAAAGCAATAGAAATATAGTGCAATATCAGTTTCGTTATACTTCTCTTTTAACGAGTTGTCTTCATTATTCTCGATGAGAAGTGGTTTCGGTTCATACTTTGGCGTCAATTGTCGCTAAAGTCTGCTAGAAGTAACAGCGAAGAAACTAAAGAATTATATGTTGATGTTTCAGTGACGAAAATGAGAAATGGAGAAAGGATAATAATTAACTGTTCGTAGATCTGATGACACGCGTGTTAAGTGCTGCATCGACCGGTAAAGCGGTAACAACAGTTCATCAGAACTTGAAGTTTTCTCACTGATTTTTTTTTGCCTTCCTCTTTTGGTAATGTTGCTAAAATACTTGACTTAAGTGTGGTACTTGTTTGTATATATTTTGCTCATAGAATCTAATATTTTATACAGATGTACATATGTAACTAATTGCTTTGCCGTTGTTCATTTAATAAATAGTTTTACTTACGAATTAGAATAAATTAGGTTTTTGCTTTAGTGAGCTATCTTCGCCATTATATCATTAATCCCCTCTTGTCCCAGAAATTCTCCTCTGTCTTTTTTTTTTAGATCTCCAAGTTTAGTTCTTTAAGGGTTGATGACGGGTCAGAGACGCCCATGAACACCTCATTTTTTTATTTTTAAAAAGCTTTCGTTGTTATTTGCAAATGCTAAACCGCAGTTTTTTGGTCTTTACCGATAAGGACAGAGCCTTATGTCCAATATTTGGAACAAGAGTTTCCATTGGATTCATTTATTGCTTGTGATAACTTGGTCTCTCTTTGTCAAAGAATTGTCAGATGTCTTGTTCATGTCTTTCGAGCTGTTGCTGTATATAATTACTTCAGTTGTTTCCTAGAACTCTGTATCAGCTACTGGTTTTGATGATGGGTTTTTCTGCTTCGTGTAGGTTGGACTACTTGTAGAGAGTTTGTATATTTTTTCTGCTGCTGTAAGATAAAAGATATCTTATACTCGTAGTCGATGTAAAAGAGCCACGAAAGGGCTCAATGTATACTGTACTGTGAGGGCGCGTGCTCTGTGTAACAATTTCCTGTAAAAAATGTAAAAGAAGCCTCTAGTGTCATTTTTCACTCCCGCCCTTTGTAGAATTAGCCTTTCGTTTTCCTCGCCTTCCTGAGCGACGTATTTAAGAAGCGTAGGGGTCGGCATGTTTCTTTGACAGAGTCCGATGAGTAGATACATGAGCTTTTTACGGAGGGGCGGGCATAAATTTTTAGAAAGTCATCTTTTTTAAACCTTTGTTGAACTTTTGCGAGAGCGCTAATGGACAAGAGAAACCTAAGCCCCATCGCTCCACAATCTTTTTATGCCGCGCTTTTCTTGCTCGATCTTTCTAGTTATTGTAAGGTTTAGAAATCGACAACCGAACTCATCTTGGCTTCCTCGCTTCGGATTCGCAGGTGCAGCTGTTGCACTCCCTATGCCTGAATAATAATCGACTAAAAACTACCAAAATCTTTCAGTAGAACTTTTTTTTTTTTCTTTTTGCAAATGGTGACTTTTTTATTCACTGCTTCCGTTTTTTAGATGAGGTGACGCGAGCTCTGAAAATAAAGTTTGGTGATGATGGAAAGTGGTTTCAAATAAATTTTAGAAAATTAATGTGTGAGGAGTGGGGGAGGCCAACGATCGTAGGACGGAAGTTTATAAAACTTGCTGAGCAGCCTAGTACAGGACAGATAGCAAAGTATCTATTTGGAACGCGTAATGGTTAACGACGGGTTGAGGGACTCTGTTCCACACTAAACAAAAATTCAGCCAATCTTTGAAGAAAAAAAATGAGATTACTCTGATATATCAATTTTGGATGGGGATTATCGCCAAAAAAAATTTAGATTTTCATTATTTCGATTCAGAAACTGTAATTTTGTTGAACTTTCGCTTCAAAACTGTATACGCTCGGAAGAAGCCGAAGAAGAAAAAATTTCAGCAGAACCATAAATAAGTGATCACCACGTTAACGTAAAATTGAGTTCTAAAATCGTTTACACTGAGTCCTCTGGATTGAATAAAAAACTTCATAATGCTGTTAATAAGAGCAGAATTAAGGTGTACCTATAAGCGACTTCATCAAACAGAACAACAGTCACTGCTCCTGTAAGAAATTGAAAAACAACTTTCTCAAACGTAGCTGAGCCAAAGATGCGATCACTACACAATCACCTGCGAGCGTTTATTAACAGTGAAAACCAAACAAAGAGCGATGCTTTGTTCCTTCAAATGTTCCTTTCAAAATAAATCAACTTTTCTAACCTCCTCACAAAACTAGAAAGCGAAGACAAACTGAGTCACTATTTCCAAAAAGCTAGAACTGTATTCCACAGCTGTAACTTAAGTTTTAAACTAAAGTAATTAAAAGATTAGCGGCCTCCAGTATAACTTTAGCTCGACATATTTTCCGTTCATAAAAACCTGATCTCCCCAAATTACTCAAAAACGAATTCAAACCTTTCAAATCCAAATAGCCTTTTCCCACTGGCTGTTATAAGTTAAATATCGTCTCAACCCGTCCTCCATGATAGAAGCCCTCTGGACGCTCAGAGAACTTCATTCTTATTACAGGAATAATTGAAGTTTCCAACAACTCAACCACTTGAAATAGTACCTCGCACAACAAAGTAATGATTGCTGATCCACCCCAAAGGAGAGGCTTTCAAAGGGTAGAAAGACAGTCACTGCCACTTGTCGCGACAACTAAACGATAGAAATGTAACTTCGTAATCTTCCTCAGAATAGAGCAGTTCACTCCAGCGAAGCCCAGACGTTTCTCAGCTATACATTTCTTTTCAATTTCACAAAGCCTTATTTCATGCTTCCAACAAGTCACACCCACTGGCACTTTGTAAATTTCTTCTAGTTTCAAGCTTAGAATTGTTTATTTACTTCAAACTTAATTTCTCCCAGTTTCAAACCCTTCTGATGCAATGTTTCAGTATTGATAACTCTTTCATTACGATTACCTCAGATAAGTTAGTGGATAACAGTTCAGTAGTCTTTCCTATTGATAACTGTATTACTAAATGCAAAATATCAAGTTTTCTCCCAGCTGTAGTGTTCTGTGAAATCTCGGATAACGGTTATCAAGCGCAAGTTACCACGTCACAAATCACTATCAACCCAGAGGTTACCAGAACTAGCAAGGGTGGTAGGTTTTTGTAGTCGAGATTCATACATTGTCAGCTTAATGTTGCCGGTCTTCAGAGGCAAGCTGTAGGGCTCTGTCAAGCTATACAGTCCTCTTCCAGCTTAATAGGTGCTGTAAACGTCAACGACTACGGATTGATTACAGTAGAAAGGGATAAAAGTCAAAAACCTTTAGAGCTTGCGTAGAGATGTTACGCAAGACCCTCCTCAAATTAAAAATGATTGTCGAGCAGTCTTGAAAACTTAGTTTTTCATGGTTTCCAACCGTAACACAACGAAAATATGCTGCGTTTAGAAGCGAGGGGATGTTCAACCGTATCCCTGATGCTTCAATATCACTGTTTCCTCTTCAGTGAATCATGTACGCAGCCACTATTTCGGCCAACAGATGCTACTTATTTGGGATTCTCAAAAGTGTTGCTAAAACCCTGGCAAGTTCCAGCCGAACATTTACAAAGTCTAAAGACCTGCTTACTTCTCAGTTCTTTGCCTTTCAGTTCTCAGTGGTGTCCTCGTAAGTCATCATCGACGGCCGTAAAAATTTTAAAAATTTTTTTCAAAATGTGCAGAACGCCGGAAGGATTCGCTGGGAAATTCAATTAGAAATTCCTCCAAAATCTAGAAAAGACTTCCACTGCCAGCTACTCCAACACTTTTGACTCGTCCAAGTGTGTCCATTTACCCACATACTTGATCTGTCTCCGTTAAAAATTCTTGTTAGTCAAGTTTTTTCACTCATCCCGACTTTCCAAAAACTATTGCTTTTAGCAGCTGTCTTCAGCTTTTTCTGTAGAGATTTCGCTTCTCAAACGACAATTCATCAAAAATGTAGAACCAAAAAAATAAATGCGCGGAACTAGTTCTTTTACCACGAAAAACACAGTGAAATACCGCCTACAGAAAAAATATGCATGACGTGTTACCACACGCACCTTGTAACTTCTTTCAGAATTCCTCATATGCATATGAATTGAAATATGCACTCGCCAAAAAAATGTTACTAAAAAACCATGCCAGCTTAACAGTAACCAAAATCACTTTACACAACGAACACTAAAACTTTAAGGAGTCTTAATACAAAACGAACACCCCCTACAAGGTCAAAACTGACTGCAACATTAGAACAATCCCAGCCAGCTAAAGCATCAACACTGCCACCTCTTGTTGAGCAGGTGACCATCAGAAACAAAGATACATAAAAATTTCTAGTTCTTTGCTCTACCAGATATCAGTTCAATCTCACACCCCGCCTCCCAATCTGAAGACAACTTTTGAAAAAAAAATGACCCACAAAACCAATTAAAAGGACCCGAAACCCTATAGAACCGATGAACCATAAATAAACAATGTGAGGACCTTGTTTGACAGCTGAACACTTGGATAACTTCAGATCACCGTCTTCCAAAAACCACTTTACTTTGAACTTTTCAGCAGTAAGTCTTATACTTTATAGTGATGAATTTTAAAGACTAATCAAATCAAAAAAAAATAAGACAATTAGGATGAAAAGTGAACAATCATAACTACGTACCTTTCAATAATTTACACAACATCAAAGAGCCGAAAAAGAGAAAATGAAAAACAATAGGAAAAGGTACGAAGACGACCAGAAAAAATGTAAGAAGAAGACAGAAACAGTGTTTGCAAGTTTGCCACGAGATCACATGAATCATGACGGCATTTGAAAAGTAACGAATCAAGACTGTTCAATTTTCGGGATCAATAGGCTTCACATTATCACAGTACTATTATAAATAAACAATTTAAAACAATGCAACCAATCATAGTCATGGTGCCAAAACCGGTTAGGATGCAAAAACTGGGAAATGAACTTTTAGGATATCTTCGGAAGAGCTTTAGCAGTAACGCTAGGAAGGGCGGCAGTTTGCTCACTTTCAACTTTTCTTAACATGTCAGTTATGAATGCGCCCATATCGAAGTCAGTGTCTTCGGCAGCTTTTTGAAGAAAATTATGGGCTAGCAAGTCTGGGTATTTGGGCCGTAAATTGTAATCCTTTGTTAGACTAAAAGAAAATACAAGGCACAAAAGCAAGAACTTAAAGACGTGACTGAAATGTGGAACATTCCAAGAATGATTCAAGAAATAAACTAACCATAAAGCAACAAAATCCTGGAATACTTCTGAATAACCGAGACCCGACGCTAATCTGGGAGGAGGTTCATGGACTACTTGCTTTAATTGTTCAAACGGTGTTTTCCATTTAGAGTAAGGATGAGAACCCGTAGCTATTTCAATCTCAATATTTCTTCTTATAAAACTCAACAGAAGAAAGTAAAGACAATAATAAGAAAAAATCCTCGACTTGAACCTCAATTAAGGCCGAGTCATAACTGTTGCCCAAAGGTAAAAGGTTTGTTAAGGAGAAACAACAGAATAAATAAATAAAGCCCAACCATTCCGTATTTGTAAAATCGTTACAATTAAATTTTCTAAACATCTTTTAGTCAGTGTCGCCGTTCCATCAAAAAAGGGGATACATTACAATTGAATAACAAAAAACCTACTTCAAAAACTCGAATAAGTCTGCAATGTGGGCAAAAAGTGCTGAAAAACAACAAGGCTTACCAGTGTAATGCCCAAGCTCCACACATCCGCACGAACGTCATAAGATTCCTTTTTCTCTCCTTCAATCCGTTCTGGCGGCATATATGGTCTACATCCTGCATTAATTGTTTTGGCGACCTATATTGAAAAAAATTTTGCTCCTAAAGTCAGAATGAAAAATACCGCAAACATCTTAGATAATTATTGCAGTTATTAGAGGTAAATTAACCGAATTAGTTAAATGTCCAGAAATGCCAAAATCGCAAATTTTTACACATCCTTGTTTGCTCAGCAGGATATTTGACGGTTTCACATCACGATGAATTAAATTCATCTGTTGTTTCATGAAATTCAGACCCTCCGTAACCTGAATGAAAGACCAACAACTGTATAATGAAAATTCATCCACATTGACAATGAACAATCACTTTAAAGCTTCCACACAAAAGAAAAAGAGGCAGCACCGACAAAGCAACTTTTGCACAAAACATTTCAGGCAAAAATCCCTTTTTGTCACTGTTCATCTTGTAGAACTTATCCAAAGAGATGTCCATTACTTCCATACAAATCCACACATCACCTTCACGAAACATGGCACCATAGAAGCGAACCATCTAAATCCTATTTGCTAATAATTTATCTCCACGCTCAGAAAAAAACCATCCAAGCTTGAAACAATTGCAACCCTGACTTTTAAATTCCTCCAACAAACATTTGATCCAGCAAAAAAAGTGAGTAAAAATAAATTCGTTCGTAAAACGAAATAAAAAAAACTATTTCTAGACAAAAAAGCAACTTATACACTGAATTTCTATTAGGCTTTCCTATTTCTTTAATTTGAAAAAGTTACTTGTGGACAAGAACCGCTTTTCATACAAGTTTGCAGCTCTACCAACATACGTTTTTGACTTTCATCATTAACGGAAGAGCGAATCCTCTAAAAAGCTGATATTTTCCACAAAGAAATAGTTCGTTGCAACAAAAATACCAGCAAACACAACAATTAGTTAGCAATAGTTTATAGTAGGTTTTTTCTTCTTTTACTTTTACGGCTAATATATTTCCCGTGGCACGATGACGCATTTTTTCAACTACACCATAAGCACCACGCCCCAATTCCTCAATTACTTCTAGATTTTGGGCTCTCACTTCCACCGCCTCCTGCTGATCGTCAAACCTTAAATTGGCAGGAAAAAACTAACTGTAGTAATCAGAAAAACTAATAAACCGGAAACCGTACTTACAAGACTAATCCCTCATCAACAACTATTTTCGTCTTTCACTCTACAAATATGACCAATAGATAAGTTAAAATGGCTAATTCACAAGTAACTGAAGTAAAAAGTTTAAACCTGAGTCAATAAAACTAAAATAATAGATCACATTACTAAGAAATAAAGAGAGTATCAAAAATAATAGTAAAAATAAGACTAAATTAACTTCATTGAACAAAAATCTTCCAGATCATGCGTTGGTGTTTCCTGAGGCTTTGGCATCTCCACCTTCAGGGACTTTTTATTCAGTTTTTGATTCTTACTACTCATCTTAATAGCGATCAACCAGAAATTTGCCAACTTCTACAATCGGTACGTTGGAAGTCGCTTCAAAATGTGCAAGCATGTGATAACTGAAATAAAAACTAAAGGCCAAATTTAGTATCAGAACTGCAATTAGTAAACACTGTTTAACAGTAAAAAGTGAAAAACCAGAGCTTAAAATCGTCAAAAGATAACAGGAGTAAAGAATAAGAAAACATGAACGGTAAAGGTAAAAACTAGTTATATCTAAGTGGAAAAATAAAATTAATAAAAGCAACTACAGCTACAACCAACAGAAATAAATAAGTGAACAAAACGATTGGAAAAAAAAAACCTAGATGAAAAAATGAGCTATAAGTCTTGAAAAATTTAGTCCAAGTAATATGGTAAAAAATAAGCATATAAAACCTGACAGGAGAAATACTTCAAATGATGCAACTGGTGAATATCACAATCTCTCCTCCCCGCTCCTCCCAAAACTATAACTGTTTCCGATTTATTCATACCATATTCTTCCGGGACGCCTAATGATTCACTGTAAATATAACTGTGTGAATACAATTCGTTAACAGCTAGTACACCAAAACAAGTAGAAACTTTAACTGTTGATTTGAAAAAAGTGATAATCTTTGAAAGAATCTGGAACGTTGATCAACAAAAAAAACGATAATCACAACAACGAATAATGTCGATTAAAAAAAAAACGATAAACCAAATTAAAAATTATCAACAGAGCCACCTAAAGGTTTTCTAAATTGCCTAGAATCTCTATTATTAGTTGAACATATAACAACCAGCCCTCAGCAAAGCTGACTAAAACTCCGAGTCACTGTCACCGTCTGCGTCAGCGTCATCAACAGAACAACTTGTATTTTACATACAACTGCTGATATGAAAGTTTCGTTGTTTTAGTAATCTAAGTCTGCAAGGCTTACAAAATTTTCTTGACAAAAAATATCACAAAAAACCGAGTTTCCAGGTTTTTTTCAGGATATTTTTGCTTTTTTTTTCTTTTTTTGTAGTGTTTTTGTCAGCGCACATTTTTCATCATCAGAATCAAAAGGATTTCAACGGATGTCAAGACATTGAAAAACAATGCCGGTCAGAATGAACATTTCCGAAAACCATGGTCACATCCTTTGCAACACAAAATCACCATTGTGATAACTACTACGCCCATGACTTCAATGCCAAAAGTGACAATTACAACTGCAGCTGTAGCGACATCAAAGTCTGCTGCCAAAACTACAACTACAGCTAAAAACTACTCGTACAAATAACAACGACGATAAAACTAACAACAGCACAGACAACAACAATACAGACGACTCATGACGATGGCAGTGACGAATAAAATAGCAATAACTTGACCTCTTCTCCTCCTGTTGGCCTCCTCTCTCCGGTGTAAGATTCACGTTGGCAAAACTCCATAACATTACAAAAAAACAACAATAATAGTAAATAAAACCGGAAGACAGAAGATGGGATTTTACTATTAAATTATTCGCTCTTTTTTTTTACTTTCATATTCATTCAAAAGATATCCAATGACGTCAGAATCGTCAGGAAAAGGTTTTAGAATTTACAAATATTTTTCGGCCGTAAAAATATAAAAGTGCGACATATTATATCTGTATCCGTATCGCCTGTTTAAACTTCTCCACTTCTATGCTGCCAAAAAAACTGATTACCGTTACATTATTCTAAAGATATAACAAATGAAAAAAGAGGGATTGGTGACAACA